TTTGGGCTGGAAAAAAAGGAGAAGAAAGCAAGGAAATAAATAAAACAGCAAAATTCTCATTTCTCTACTAGGATTTTAAGATTGGGCTCGGAGTTGGTTTTATTCCCAAGACAAGACGTACTGTGGTAGAGTCGACTAATGGTACCCGCTATTTCATTGACCACGCAAGTAGTGCCAGTTTAAAAATTTCGGACAAAATCTTGGGTATGTATATGGTTTGGAATGGGATGGTTTTAGGGCCTAGTTGGAAAGGCAAGGGTCACAAAGAAGTTATAAAATTGATATTAATGGGAAATTGTGCATTTAAGGTGCGTAGTAAGAAGCGTGTAAAGATTGAGCATAGGAGAAAACGTTAAGGAATGTACATGCATGATAGGAGCATAATAAGAGTTGTTTGAAGATATCTTATTTGAGTTGTTTTATGTTTTAAATGGATGAAGATATTTAGTTTAGTATGTATTTCTAGATGGGAAACATGGGGAAGAAACGTGTATTGCTTTTTAATATACCGAATATCGCCATTTCTGGGGATTGCCTAATTCTAAAAAAAAATCAAATAAATTTCAAATGTGAAATAAAAGAAGAATGCTTGGTATTAAAATATTATTTCATATCAGTAAAATTGAATGCTGTTAATGACATCTGAAGAAATACGCTATAAAAGGGTTTTATCATGTCTTTGTTTATCTGCACTTAAATTTCAAACACGACAGAATTTGTTATTTTTGCCTTAAAAATTCATAATTTCTATATACTTTTGAGACTCACCGTAAAACTTTCAGGAAACTTTCTTTGGGGTCTTTTCTGCAGTTAGCTTAAATTTTATGTCAATCCAAGGTGATATTTGAGTTTTACAGTAATTCTCTACGTTGCTATTAGTTTGATTTTTTTGGGGGGGGAAGAAGGGGGGGGGGATTTTACTCTAAACCAATTTAAAATGGGATTTGTATCTTGTATCTACCTCCAAGAACTTAAGAATTTAAGATTGATTGTTTGTGACCTTTAGGTCAAAGGTGAAGGCCATTAAAAAAAACTCTTTACCTTCTATCCTGCTAACCGAAATAATCACTGAAAGCTGAATCTAGGTACATGTACTTCATATTTCTTTTTTTACCTTGGGTCAAGGTCAAAGGTCAAGGTCGAATTTCAAGTTCAAAGGTCAAGGTCATTTGGGTAAATAGCTAATACCAACAATTTATGTAGATTTCTAATGGCTTTGACTTTTGACCTTGATATAAATTTCAAGGCCAAATGTCAAAAGATGTAATCCAGTATGCTAGATGCATGCCATCACTATAAATGTATACTGTTTATAATATATTTACAAAAATGAAGAAAAAACATACTTAGAGTTGGAATAGGACCATTGAAATTCATATTTGACAACTCCTAACCTTGCTCTATCAAAATCCATGAAAAGCTCAAAATGTGTAAAAATTGCCATAAGCACCCTTTTCTCATGGGCACATTCATGTATAGTTGCACTATTTTGAGAGAATAAGACAGTGTACGATTTATTACTTGGTTGTAATTAAATTAGCGATAATCAAATCGTTCAATTATGTAATTCGCACTTCACCAGAGTACACCCCATAGACCGGATGCATTTCATAGTGGTCCGAATTTCTTTCTTTATAACCGGTAATAAACTTCAAATTAAACATGTAACATTGAAAATACATAGTGTTTGGTAGTTAAGTAGTAGTGCTAGTTATGTTCCCCAAACAAAGTTTGGGAACATATTGTTTTTACTTTCTTTTTCAAAATTTCTTCTCCGGTACTTTTATGTCCGCGAGTGTTCTTGGAAACTACTCATCCAATTGACATGAAACCTTTTTAGGTTTAATAGGTATTTTGTGTAGATGTGTGGAACGAAGGTAATTTTGTGCGCACATGCATGCACATGCGCATGCGTGCGATGAGTAAAATGAATGACATACCGTATAACGGGTATTTTCTGCGGTTGTCCAATTTTTGCGGAATTTTGCGGATAGGACAAATCCGCAAAAATTACAATCGCAAAATATTTTTTAATATTTCTTCAGATACATGTATATATATTATACATGCAAGAATGATAAGTTGTGCTTATGTCACAGGATTCTCATTAACGCAAGAATTTGCGGACTGGACGCAGCAAAATTATTTGGGACGCAAGGTTCTTAAAAACAATGTGTCCACAGACTCATGAGTGGACACGTCCTCATTAGCGAGAATATTCGGGTGTCATCGAAATTCGAAGATTTTAGATGTCAGGATTTGTCCAAAACATATTGAATCAAAACGTTCCTGTAAATAATATCAATTTAATAAGTTTATACAAAAACATCTTTTCTTCTACCTATTTCTTTATTTTATACGGACATGCATGTAGGCCTACATGTAAATGACTAAAAGAGATTTCACAATTATTCGTCCAAACTCCGATAGCTGCAAGCAACACATATTAGCTTTTCTTTCTTTCTTTAACACTTTTTTCAATCTTGTGTTTTATCTTGAGACCATAATTACTCCTTGTATACACAATGTGGCTTGATTGTCACTCAATGCAGACGACTGACAGGATTAGTTACGCCTCATTGCACATGGCACCTGTGATTGTATACGGTCAACTTTAGGTTACTTGATTATGCAACTGTTTGTTTGAGCTAAAAATATAAACACCAGGTTAATTTTGATGGCATTAACTGTAAGTGTATTTTTAGAATATGGCTTGGATGCATTAATTATTTATATATTTAAATATTTTAATAGATCGCATAAAACGTTTGTTACAATGTAGAATAAAGATTTTTATTGTTGCTTGGGTGGACTGATACTGTAATAATTCATTTCAATTGGTACTCGAAATATTTTTACAAAGACTAACTAAAAGATAGTAGTTTAATTAAGCTTAATAGCTTAATACCAGTTCTCATGCACCTTTGATCAATATGTCTCAATGAATTTATAAAACGTAAACATGGCAGCTATCTGATAATTCTTAGAGTTTGGTGATCATACCCAGTATATATTTTTTTGCGGTATAATGCAACTGCAGAAATTGAAAACACAGAAATTAATATACTATCTTTTAGGGGTTAAATCGCAAAAATTTCCAACCGCAGAAAATACCCGTTATACGGTACTTAATATATCCATAACTTTTATATTTCTTGATGAATTGCTCTGAAACTCAGAATATAAAGATACATTAGTAGTCTAGATAAGATGACATGGTCAAATGAGCATGAAGCCACGCGCATGCACGTGAGCGTCTCTCTGATTGGCTGATACAAAAATCTCAATAACTTCCTTGTTTTTTTGACAAAATACTTTGAAATTTAAAATGTAAGTATATATTATAAGGTTCTACAACATGTTAAGTATATAGGAAATTTCTTAAAAACATGTGCATACAGGTGTGCTGCAATCTGATTGGCTGAAACTTTAAGGTTTTATAAAAGGTGAACATGTCCAAAAATTTATTTTTACAATAGCTCCAAAACTATGTGGTTTATAACGTTAAAACTTTTACAGTTTATAAATATATCATGGATTAACAGATAGAAAGTATCACTTGATAACAAATACTTTATAAAAATATTTATCGAGAAAAATTCTTTTTAAAAAAATGCACCTGCTTAATTTTGTACTTTTAGTGAAAACCATCATTGCAGAAATAATATATGTTTATCAAAGAAGGGCAAGTTGGACTTCGATGGTATCTGGAAAGTTGTTTTCCCTGTTTATTTTGTCCAAATGTTAAGATATGAAACCGAAAGTACATTGGAAATGGCGGATTTTATAGGGGTCTTGTCTTTACACATGTCATGCTTTCAATAACAGCCTTTCAGAGACCATTCACATCCAACTTGCCCTTCATTGACAAACATATATTATTTCTGCAATGATGGTTTTCACTAAAAGTACAGAATTACAGGTGCATTTCTTTTAAATATGCAAATTTTTTGCATTTTTTTTCTCAAAAAATATTTTTTTAAAATATTTGTTTTCAAATGATACTTTCTATCTGTTAATCAGTGATATATTTATAAACTGTAAAAGTTTTAACTTTATACCTCACATAGTTTTGGAGCTATTGTAAAATAAATTTTTGGATGACATTCATAATATAGATAGGCATATTGGTCTCCTACATACTCCTATATTGGAGAAGTTTTCCAATAAAATACCCTTAAAGATAAAGTGTCCATCTATATTACAAAAGTATTGCCTAATTCAATGAAGCTTGTAGGGAATGGGGCATCATAAGGGATTGGGGAGCCGTTTGGGGAACATCTGTAATGGTTCCCGAGTTGTTTTTTAAGGTCTTATGTTTCCAATGGAAGACCTTATACTGATTCTGATGGTTAAGAAATATTCTTATTAATCTTTTTTTATTCCTAGACGCCAACTTTGAAGCTTCATATCTTCCTCATTTCTCAACAAATTCAAGTCAAATTTTCGCGTTTAACTTTACAAAACATTTTTAAAATACTGCATTACATTTCAGAAATTCCTTTCCACTCACAAGTTATTCCCCTTTGATGGAAATTTTAGGGGGGTTGATTTCCAGACAAGGCTCCAAGACTATAAAAGCTGGAGCACAAATATCATTGAAATTGAAAAGAAGAAATATTGTAGTTGTGCACATTGGTTTTTGTTTTTTTATTTTTGCCTTCAAAATGGCGCTAACGGGGGGTAAAAAATTAGGACGTATAAAAGAGCTAAAATTTAGTCATATTTTCCTTTATATCTTTTAAACTAAAAATATTTTGTAAAGACATGTAGAATAAAAGTTGTGGCAATAGACAGATTCTATCAATTGAAATTAAGAGAGAATTAGGACTACAAATATACCATTCACATATAACCCATCAAAAGATGGACATTTGTTGTTGCACAAAAAGGATTAATTCACAAAGAGGACATGTTTAAATGCAAGAATCATTTTGATTGTGCTGCAGTTTAGTTTTGGAAGACTATAATTGATTAATATGTAAGCAGAACTTCCCTACCTTCTCACCAATTTCTGTCATGTCTCCAGCTGGAAGAATTTCCAAATCTGCATTTAGTTCACAATTATCAATTACTTCTGAGTAATCTGGTTCAATCTTAATTTTTCCAAAAAGAACATTGTCTCTCAGTGTTGCATTTTGTATCCAAGCTTGTTGTGCAACATATGCAATGGAACCCTAATAATAAAAAATAAGAGAAAAATTGTTTTTTCATTAAAAAACAAGGACACCGCAAAGTGGAGCATCCCCTCGCAAAGAGCTTATCTTTAAATCAGGACGGCATTTGACATCGATCCCGATGCAAATTACGTCACTTCCGTTTCGCACATCACTAACTTACACACAAACACACACACACAAACGTGTTACTATATCCCCTCAACCTCCGTTGAAAGGTGATAAAAAAGGGAAACGGTAAAACACACTTATAGTGAACATGCTTGATGCTTACAGAGAAATGATTTCATTCCCCATGGCTTCAAAAATATATTGTGAACTTAACAGTTATAGCGAATAACACCTATAACCAAGCAAATTCGTCAGTCCCTGGCACTTCATTATAAGCATGTTTTACTGTATCAGAATGTTTGAATAAACAATATTACAGAGTGCATGTGGAATATTTCAAAAATGTAAAAGCAATTACTGTAATGTGCTATATATATATATATATATATATATATATATATATATATATATATATATATTAAACAAGAGGCCCATGGGCCACAATGCTCACCTGAGTAACTGCGGCCCATCTTGTTCATCAGCAGATTCTTTCTCCTATAGATTCCCATGTAAAAATTGATCACCCATTGTAATCCCAGCCTATTCCCAGAGGTTATGATTTTAACAAATTCAAATCTACACTAACTGAGGATGCTTTTTTTTTTTATGAATATGACTAATCATAACTTTACTGTTCCTGGGAAAAAGATTTTTAAAGATTTTTTGCATGTATTCCTATGTAAAACTTTGATCACCTATTGTGGTCACACCCTACCCACAGGGGTCATTATTTGAGCAGATTTGAATCAGCACTACCTGTGGATGCTTACATATAAATATGCCAGATCATGGCTTTGCTGTTCTTCATCATCAGATTTTTTAAGGATTTCACCTATGTATTTCTAGAGAAAACTTTGATCACCATTGTTGCCCCTCCCTATCCCCAGGGATCATGATTTGAATAAAACTGAATCTACACAATCTGAGGATGCTTATAATCCTCATATTTATATAATCAATATGATCAATCATGGGTTTCCTATTTTTGAGAAGATTTTAAAAGATTTTTCCTATTAATACCCATGTAAAACTTTGATTGGCCATAGTGGCAACACATTAATCTAACACATTCTGAAGATGCATCTATATCATTATGATTAATCATGGCTTTCCTATTCTTGAGAAGAAGTTTTAAAAAAAAATTCCCCTATTTATTCCTATGTAAAATGTTGATCACTCATAGTGGCATAACCTACCCCTGGGGGTCAGAATTTGAAAACACAAGAGGTCCATGGGCCACATCGCTCACCTGAGCACACTGGCTAGGCAAAAGCACAAATCAGTTCAGTATTGAAAAGATTACTGGGGGGGGGGGCTTGAATTTTAAAAACTACCTGATGATGCTTCCATGTCAATATAACAAATGGCTTTGTTGTACTTGAGAATATTTAAAAAAAAATTCCCATAAAAATGTAAAAATTTGATCTCCCATTGTGGCTCCTCCCTATCCCAGGGGTCATCGATCATTTGAACAAACCTGAATCTACACTAGGATGCTTCCATATCAATATGACTAAACATAGCTTTTCTGTCCTTGAGAAGAAATATTTTTTCTATATGTTCTTATGTAAAACTTTCGATCCCGATTGGGCCCCACCCTACCCCCGGGGGTCATCATTTGAACAACATTGAATTTACACTACCTAAGGTTGCTTCCATAACACAATGACTAAACATGATTTTCAGTTCTTGAGAAGAAAATATTTTCCTATATGTTCCTATGTAAAATTTTTGATCCCCCGTTGTGGCCCACCCATATCCCCGAGGGTCATCATTTTAAGAAACTTGAATCTACACTATCTGAGGATGCTTCCACATCAAAATGACTAATCATGGCTTTGCAGTTCTTCATCAGAAGATATTTTCCTATATATTTCTATTTAAGACTTTGATCCTCCATTGTGGCCCCACCCTATCCCCAGGGGTCATGATTTGAATAAATTTGAATCTACAGTACATGAGGATGCTTCCATATAAATATGACCAATCAGGGCTTTTCTGTTCCTGAGAAGAAGATTTTTAAAGATTTTTCCTTTATATTTCTATGTAAAACATTGATCCTCCATTGTGGCCCCGCTGCACCCCCAGGGTCATGATTTGAACAAACCTAAATCTACACTACCTGAGGATGCTTCCATATAAATATGACCAATCAGGGCTTTTCTGTTCCTGAGAAGAAGATTTTTCCTTTATATTTCTAAGTAAAACTATGATCCTCCATTTTGGCCCTGCCCAACCCCGGGGGTCATGATTTGAACAACTTGAATGTTCACTACCTGAGGATGCTTCCATATAAATATGACTCATCATGGCTTTGCTGTTCTTGAAAAGAAGATTTTAAAGATTTTTCCTATAATTTCTATGTAAAATTTTGATCCACCATTGTGGCCCCGCCCTACCCTCGGGGGTCATGATTTGAACAAACTTTAATCTACCTTACCTGAGGATGCTACCATATAACAATGACTCATCATGGCTTTGCTGTTCTTGAGAAGAAGATTTTAAAAGATTTTTCCTATATATTTCTATGTAAAACTTTGATCCTCCATTGTGGCCCCGCCCTACCCCCGGGGGTCATGATTTGAACAAACTTGAATCTACACTACCTGAGGATGCTTCCATATAAATATAACTCATAATGGTTTTGCTGTTTTGAGAATTTTAAAGATTTTCCTATATATTTCTATGTAAAATTTTGATCCTCTATTGTGGCCCTTCCCTACCCCCGGGGGTCATAATTTGAACAAACTTGAATCTACACTACCTGAGGATGCTTTCACATGAGTTTCATCTTCCCGACCCTGTGGTTCTTGAGGAGAAGATTTAAAAAAAAAACTACTATTTTTTTTTACTAATTCTTTATTATCTCCCCTTGAAAGAGGGCGTGGCCCTTCAGTTGAACAAACTTGAATCCCCCTCACCCAAGGATACTTTGTGGCAAGTTTGGTTGAAATTTGCCCTGTGGTTCTTGAGAAGAAGTCGAAAATGTAAAAAGTTTACAGACAGACAGATGGACAGACAGACGGATAGACAGATGGATGCCGGACAAAAAGTGATCAGAAAAGCTCACTTGAGCCTTCGGCTCAATGAGCTAAAAAATTGAATCTACACAACCTTAGGATGCTTTCATATAAATATGATTAATTATGGTTTTCCTATTCTTCAGAAGAAGATTTTTAAAGATTTTTTTTTTTTGAAATTATACCCGTGTAAAACGTTGATCCTACATAGTGGACCCACCCTACCCTTGGGGATCAGGAATTGAACAAATTTGAATCTACACTATGTCAGGTAGCTTTCACATAAGGAGTATTCTACTTAAGTCTAGTAGTATGGTCCCTTTTTACGCCCTTGGTTTACCGGTTAAATATTAGCATACGGTATTTTGTTTGTTTTCATTGTGTATAACGAAGTAATTCTAATTAAAACATTGTGTATTTATAATGAATAATTAAACATATCAAAAAATACAAGCCTATTTTTAACACCTACGGCACTAAAAAATGCCAGAAAATTTTCCCCCGATCAGACAACGGTTTCTCTATTAGATGGAAATGGGCAGAGACATTTAGATTAGATGCTATAAAAAGATCTTAGTATGATATTTTTCTTTCAAAGACAAATTATATGTTCAAGATTCACAATCAACTACAAATACAATTTTCTATTTACAAAACTTTGGCAATAAAAGCTCTAACAAGATGAACCATACAAGTCCATGCTGATCGATATAAAACTGAGTACGTTTCAACAGAGAACTAGCACGTTTACTTGGGGCATTTATCCGTAACGATACAAATCCATGTGGCTCGTTATGATTCTAAACAGGTCATAAAGAGGTTAATCCTATGTAAATGAAGTCACTGAAAAAGATTCAAAATCACAATACTTTTAATTAGAAAATATAGAGCACAAGGTTGTTCAACAAAGATATTTTCACTCAACCTTTACACATATAATATACACATTATATTTCAAACTCAACTCTGAACAAACCTGTGCTCGGTGTTTACGAAAGCTTTGAAGTGTGTACCTGTCACTGATTTCTTTTGATATTCATGAAAATCAAAGGACCCTACCTTCAACGGCTAGCTTTGTATGCTGCCTATATCTATTGTTTGACATTTTTAGATGATGATTCAAATAATAAAGACATTAGTTAATAACAGAATTTAATTTTTAAAAATTTTAATAAATGTTCGAAATTTGACGAGTAACCGGGGACCACAGATAAGCCTTATATTAATTATTGAGACTTGTTCTTTAATCATTTCTGGCCCAGTGGTTCTTAAGAAGATTTTCAAATGACCCTACCCAATTTTTTTTTTTTACTTTTTCTTAATTATCTCCCATTGAAAAAGCTAGGTATGGCCATTCATTTGAACAAACTAGAACCCCCTTTACCCTAGGATACTCTGTGCTTTCAGCTCAGGTGAGCTAAAAAGTATAAAAACACAAAAATCCTCCATATAAAGCTTTAATTTAGTGCTTTCATTTCAAATCTGTTATATAGGCTAAGTGTTCTAAATGCAAGGAATTGGTGAGACTGGGTGTGCCTGTGTAACCAGCATACAAGTACACCTGAATACAGACAAATCCAGCAGTGCACAGCTTGTAATAATTTAATATATAACATTTTTTCCATTCTATAAACTCAGATGCACCAGTGCTATTCAGAGAGAAAAATTTTAAAACCGAAACTTAATAGTGTTTTATAAATTTCTCTAAGATTTTCTTGTACTTTTTCCAGGTTATAGCAAATTATCTATGACATCACATAGACATAAAACATTCCACTTACTTTAATGTCATATTAATTGTTACTGTGATACTGTTGTGTATACATTTATGTTAAGCTTCTGAAGATCTGAAATGAAAGTGCTAAAGCT